TCATTAATTTTCGAAATCCTTCCAAACAATCTGCTAATAATAGTACATCGAGTTGGAGGTATAAGTCATGATATTCTCGAAATAATTTCATATTAAATGCTTTCTATACTTCTTGTGCTTTTTTATAGGCTTTTTCTGAGCATTTGGATTTGTTGAGTATACTGTCGAAAGCCTCAATAGGAGGTAGGAAAGTCGCATCCATTTTTTCTGGTGCATTAAACCAATCATAGAGGAAAATACCTTTATGAAATACTAAGTCATTCCTTCCTTTTGATCCATGTTCTCTAATTATGGGAAATCTCTCTGGATGGGCAAAGTATCTATCAGAGTTGATTTGATAAAGATGACCAGGCTTTTTACATGACAAGTTTAGAGATTTTCCATTCTCATTTACTTCTTCTTTATATGGTTCAGCTCCTAAGTTAGATACATGAGAGTCAAGACTTCTTGGCATGAGTTGAAGAGAATTCATATATCTTTGATCTTCAATATCGAGACTAAGGTAGTTTTCCATATTATGCAGGATAGCACTTATTTTTTCGTTACTTATCCATCCCATAACTTGGGAAATAAGATAAGCATCAAACTTACCTAAATTATGAAAATAAATTGGTAATTTAAACTGCTCTGGTTTTATTCGTAGTTGGAGGTTACAAATACTATGGGCTGGAGCTCTATACTTACCTGTAATATGGTCATGATCTCGAACTTTTTTAAGATTATCTTCTTTTCCAAATAGCTTTTCACATATGTAACATTTTTTAACTAAATTATACATTTTTTCTTCTCGAACAGTAAACTTTTTCATTGGTTCTCCTGGTCATCGGAATCTACAATAAATTGTATTTGCAAGTTGGTACATTATTCCTATATCTACTCCAAGGAGATCTCTTTTATAAGCTTGGTAAAGTCTTTTTAATAATTCTTTGATATTTTTTATATTTGTTATATCTGCTATTGAATTTACAATAAATTTTCAGGTTTTGAAATTTTCACAGATAAAAAGATATTCTTCGGTTACTTCTTTAGGTAAAATTTTTGATTGTAATATATGACATAAATCTTTTGCGCTTTTTCGAATTACATACCCTCCTACTAGAAAGTCTCGACATTGGTCTGTTTCTTTTTTCATTGTTTTGATGAACTCTCCAGCTTGATCATATCCTCTGATTTTTACTGGTACTTTGATCTTGCCATCACTACATCTAATTATATAATCAAATGGTATAACTTTGTGTTCTTGAATTGCCGTCGTTTTCAATCCTTGGCTTTTTTCAATGAGTGTGACAAGAGTTTCTGCATCTGCTATACATATAAAAGGAGCATCTAATGTTCGCTCATATCTTTTAAATTTATAGATATTCTTACTTTCTTCTGGCATTACAGTTCTTTGTGCTGGATTATTAATTCCTTCACAATCTTCCATATGCTGTACATCAATATTGGGATCGTGGGTTCAGTGACTTATACAATAGTCACAAATATATAACTTACCATTGTGCTTAGTTGTATATTCAGCTAATTTTTCTAATCCATCTCTTCCTTGAATCAAGTAATAATGTTAAGCTGGTTCACCTGTTTTTGGATCATCTCCTGTTATTAATAAAAGTTGAATTAATTTTCGTGGTTGACAATTCCTCTCTTTATGATTGCATCTATCATGTACTTTGAATTTAGGTGCAATTCTGATTGGAATAAGTTCTTTTTCACTCCATCCATAAATTGATACAGATATATCGGGATTCTGTTTTTTGAACTTTTCCATTGTATCATTGTCAGCTTTTACTGGAAATAAGATTCCGTCAAAATTTAACTCTCCTATATATTGATTATACCAATTTGAACGTTCTCGATGGTGAGGAGCTTGATATAAATTAGCAAGGATACATCTTTCAAAGCATCAATTATCCTCATTTTTGATATTGATAATTTCATTGTTTCGTTTTGATATTTCTTTAGGTAAAGGAAGGTGTGAACTGGCTGTTAAAGGGATATAAATTGGCATTTCAATATTTACTTCTCCCGATTCTTTATAATACCAACTCGAGCCTTCACGAATATATACTTCTATTCAATTTTCAATATCCCAAATAAGCTCATCTACAATTCCCGGGATATCTTCTTTAACGGTTACTACTACTGCTTTATTTTTGAACAGAACTTCTTTATAATCTTTTTCGTCATTATTATTTTCTGTAAATGTTCCATCTTCAAACAGTCCCTGCTGATAATTTGATGATCGACTCATTTTTCCTGTGAGACATAATTGAGTTTTGAACTCATGAGTAAGGTCAAATCGGTCATTGAAAATATTTATTATTTGCTTCCTAAGTACTCCAAGAGTATTGATTGGGTCTTATGCGTATATACTTTCTTTTCCTATTTTAACTTGATAATGATCGTCTAATAATTTACATCCTGAACTAATAATATCTGTTTGATGAAATTGCGGAATATGTTCTAATATTCCTAATACTTCGAGATATTCTCTTTCAGCTTCTGGTGATAGAATAGGCTCAGTAATTTCTGAGGGATCAAATAATCCTAATGCATCGAGATATTCTATTTCTGAATTAAGTTGCAGTAGTTGATTAGGAGACGGAACTGCTAAGTGGCATGGATTTTTATTACTAGTATAATGTTGACGAAGTTTTTGTGGTGATGAAAGACGGTGACCACAACAAACACACGTATACCTGCCACCCAAATTCAAAATCCAAATGCCAAAATTCCAAATGCTAAAATCCCAAATCTCAAATCCCAAATTATGATTAGTATTTTTTGCTGAAATCTCAAATCCCAAATCCCAAATACTAGTAATTTGGGATTTTGGCGTTCCAAATCTCAAATGATTTGGAATTTGGGCAACACGTATAATGGGAAGTCTACAATAAATAACTGGGAAACACTCACTACACAACTTGCGAATTCATCTGGTATGGATATAGAACAATTCCTAAATGTTACAAATATCCTACTCAGAAAGACTGATGTTGATAAAGTTAATTTAAATAAACTTAGATCTCTAAATTGTCCTGTCACCAAAATCCATGCTGTATATGCAGACAGTGGTCACAAAGCATCTAAGGCCAATTCAAATATAACAAAAGGTCTTGAGGCTTATCTGCTCTTGACTAGAGGTATACGCATCATGCTTAGAGCTAATTTATGGACAAAAGGAGGATTAGTAAATGGTTCAATGGAAACTCTTCAAAAAATTTTGTTTGAAGAAGGTCAAAGTTCACCTTCTCTTCCAAGTGTAGTCCTTATCGAATTCGATAATTATACTGAACTGGCTATTACAACTGCAGAAGGAAAAAGGCTTGTTCCTATAATACCTATTAGACAAACGTGAAAAACTAAAAAAAATATACTATGTTTGTACCTACAACTTCCCATTAATCTTGCGTGGACTATTACGGTTCATAAGAGTCAGGGACTAACGTTATTAAAGGTTATAGTAGGTCTTGGAGAAAGAGAGTATGCTGCTGGCCTCTTTTTTGTAGCGGTGTCTTGAGTTCGAGCTCTTAAAGATCTTCTTTTCTGACCATTTTCTTTCGAGAGACTTCAGCACATAAAAAATTCTAAGAGATTACAAGAAAGAAAAAATGAAGAGGAAAGATTAGTTTCCTTAACTTAGATTTATTAGGATAGAAGTTACCACAAATATACTTTGCACAATTATTAATAATTATTAATAAATTATTATAAACTCGTAAAATAATTATAAATTATTATAAACTTGTGAAATAATTAAATAAACTCGTGTGAAAATATCTAAACTCGTCAATACAATTACGTGTGCGAACAGATGGACAAAATTCTGCTAAGGCAGTCTAGTGGAGTTGATCATGTGACACATTGCATATTTATGTCACGTGTACGAACAGACAGACAAAATTCTGCTAAGGCATTCTAGTGGGGGTGATCATGTAACACATTGCATATTTATGTCACGTGTGCAGACAGACGAATATTTTTTTTGCTAAGGTCTCTACTACTAGTGGAAGTTGATCATGTGACATATTGCATATTTATGTCACGTGTGTAGACAGATGGACATTTTTTGTTAAGGTCTCTACTATGCCTGAAAATGTAAGTCCTTTGCTATGTTCCGGACAAAAAGAAATATAAATCTATCAGCATAAATAATTCTACTATAATTAATAGTAATAATATTCTAAATAATGACAATAATAATAACAATAATAATAACAATCATTATAACAATATATTATCTAACACATATTGACAATTAAAAAATAATTATTTAGAATTACTAAATGATTATATTAATATAGAAATAAAAAATCAGTTTGACTGGTCTTGGACTTATAAAATAGGTTTTGCAACAAGACTTTAATATACTAATAACAACTGTTGTTATTAGGTAATAGGTTGTAGGTATATCTTTCTAAGTTAGTCTAAATCTCATTTTTATATAATTATTAGAATAAGTTATGTATTTGTATTATTTTATATAATATAAAAGACTTTCTCTTTTTTTAATTAATAAATTTGAGGCAAGGCCTCATTAAAACAAAAACAAAAAAAAAGTATTATTTCAATTTATCATAATTGAATATTATTTTAATTCTAGAATTTATAATAATAATTTATAATTAATTTTATTAATTCAAGAATAATAATATTATACAATTATATAATCAAGTATTTAATTCTATAATATCTATTATTTCCTTATTAACTATTATATTTTTATATTTAATAATTATTTTTATAATTTTTATTTTATATTTTTAATATTTATTATTTTATTAATTCAATTGCAAGATTATTTTTACAAGTTTTTATCTTGAAGTTGTAAATTATAAATTTTAATTTATTAATTTCAAATAAGTTATAAATTATTAAAATTTAAAATTATAAAATTATAAAACTAAAGAATTAAGATAAAACCTTAATCCTTTTTATAAGTATTTTAAGTGATCTATATTACTGTACCATTACTGTATCTTACTGTGTATTATTTCTATTCTTTATAAAAAATATGCATGTTTAAAAAATATTTAAAATATAATTAATTATATTTGTAATAATCTACTTAAAATATTATTATTTTATAATTAAAATATATTTAAAATATACTTAAAAAAATACTTAATTTAGGTA